AGGAAGTCTTTTGGGGTTGAAGATTTTCCCAGTGTCCCTCAAAATTGCAGTGTGTTGGTAAGTGCCGGCTGTGTTGTTTCACAAGAGACCCACCCTGTTGGTAGTCAGGAGTTGGTTTCGGTTTTTGTAGAAATTCAAAAAGGACAATGTCATTGAAATAGGAGGGCATTCGCTAGGGTAGCTGCAGTTTGTTTGTCTACTTATTTATTTAATGGGCATTATCCGAATTCTAGAGTTGGTAGACAACAGAACGCTCCCCTGGTTTAATGCGATCATTGTGGAGCTGAGGGAATGGAGATCTGAGTAGCTGATGTAACTTTTTCAAGATCACAGGACTGGACTGCGGTGTGGCAGGAACTCCATTCTGGTCTTCTCAGCTCCAGAGTCCTCGGCTCCGTTCCCACCCTCTGCTCTCTGCTGAGTTCCAGGCAGGTTCTGGTGAGGGGCCACAAGGCCACATTTGGTGACCTACAAATGTAGGAAGTGGATGGGTCACTTCAAACTTTAAAAGCACGTCATAGACATCATTTCATTTGGCTCTCAGTGAGGCAGCTAGTACCCTTCCTGTGAAGATGAAATCAGATTGAGGCTCATGCATTTCACACTTAGTGCATACTGTCAGTTCCAACACCAGGTTAGGAACAGAACGGTGGGTAACTACACCTTCTTTGTCTTCTGAACTAGTTACTGGCAAGTCAGCTTGGTCTCATGGTGACCTCATGTGCTATCAAGAGTTTTGATGGCACTTGATTGCCAAGCTTTCCCTCTGAGGTACATCTGGGTAAATTTAAACGGCCAAGTTATTGGTTAGTAGTGGGGACTTCACCATTTGAGCCACCCAAGCCTGCCATCTATTTTTTGAGGCAAAACTAAATAGTTGCAATGCAGTGTGGTCTTACAACAGAGGCATCAGTGAAGTACTAGGGGAGCATAGAAAAGAGCGACATTCATGTTTTTTCAAAATCAAATCATGCATTTTATATGCTTCATCTTTTTCTTTTCATTGTCAATAGAGTGAAGGTTTACAGAGCAGATCAGTTTTCCATTTACCAATTCATAAATAGTTGGCTTCATCTCAATGAAATTGTACTTGTCCTAC